TATATTTATATTAATATACTTACATAAATATAAAATTTAATAATTGTTATTTGGCTTTGTTTCATACTTCAGTTAACAGTTTTTGTCTACGTTGTAATAATTGTAAAACTATGATCAATTAAATTGTTTGAAATTAATAAAATTGTACACACTGAACAAAAATTGTAATTAACAATTTTTTAATGGAGTTAACAGTCGGTCTATTTCTCTTATTGATAATAATAAGCGTTTATGGGTTGAAGCTTTCCATATTATCGTTATGGTTTGGGATTGCAAAAAAGAAAGTACAGATCTGCAGGATTTCGGAGCTCAAATTTTTACCATATTCACATTTTTGAAAGTAATCTATTTATTCGGTGACATTTTTCTTAACAACTCCGCATTTGCGTACATGCTTTCCAAAAATATATTTGAATTAGATCGTTAATCGAAAAAACGTAATCAATATCTATATACTTTTGTTTTTAAATATAAAAGTTTTTTTTAATTTTATTTCCAGTTGGTTTATCTTTTAAAAAAGACATTTGGTTTTAGTAAGTGAAAAGTAAGAATGCACTGTTTCACAGCTTCAACCAAAGTACATATATTTTGGAAACAGTACAAATGATAATCCCAGTTATGATAGAGAGGATAATTAATAGGTAATAAATAAAGATTTAAACAATGCAGTATATTGATAACCAGATAAGACAGTGACATAAATTTTTTTATGTAAGTATCGGTTTCATCTAAAATTAATTAACATTAAAGATATGTTGCAAATAGGTTATTCATTAATTAATTTTTATATGTTTAAAAATATATTACAACAAATTAAAAATAAATTGTTGTGTTTATTAGTCAAAGATTTTCAATTTATTTTGTCGTTTACTCAGTAACTTCGTTATTCTTTATTGATATTGTATACATAAAACGATACTATGTTATTTTTTCAATATTTTTCCTTTGATTTTTCTTCCAATTTCTTGCAATCCTGTAAACGCTGTCTATTTCGCATATGTGATTTAATTAATGATTTAATTTTTCCATTTTAAGTGTGATTGAAACATAGAAGATAAATAACTTAGATAAAATGTATATTATCGAGATATATAAACGAATATTACACAATTTTTTAAATATAATTCTGGTAATTAAATTGTACCAAAATATTCTTGCGGATTTATTCATTAGTAACAGAGCCGTATGATTCATGTCACTTTTTTTCTATGTTCGACTATTATATGATATATTACGTCAGAATATGAAATTATTTTTAAACTGTATTGAATTCATACGTCGTCTGATACCAGGTGCACTTCTGATTACAACCTTAGTACATGTACAAAGAAATCGCTAAAAAAACCTATTATGCGAACTGAATTATGGAATATTCTATTACCTTTACAGTATAACCAAAAACATAAATTCCTTGGTAAATATTACAAATATATATATATAAACGAAAACCTTAAAATTACTTCCCTCTGATATAATTCTCTCTGATAGCAACCAAGATATAAAAGTAAATTATAGATATTAGGGTAGAATCATAAAGGAGGTCGAGGGATACTTAAATATTTTGTAGCAAATCATTATGACTTTAGCCATAAACAAAATATATGAGTCAATATACAAATATAGACAAATATATCAGTATAAGGAGAGTGCACGTTTCATGAATAATGTGATTTAAAAATTAAATCTAATTCATTCATTATATTATATACTATATAACAACGCTTTGACAGGTTTTGTAAAATTGTAGATATTTTATAGTAAGTATGTTTTTATAAATTTCCTATGTTTTATATATATAATTAATAAAAATGCAATTAATCAAATATCATGTATTCATTACATAATTAATATAGTTAATTGTTGTTTACTTAGCGTCTATATTTAAAACTCATACTTTGTTTATTGTATTACGCAAAAAATTAGTAATTTATATTAAATTTTCTGTTATCACTTTTATCAGTAGTTGATGTATAGTTGCTTATTTAACGTATTTGTCCTCCTTTATTTGATCATAACCATATTTATATCATAAATTTAGATTTATATTTTAATTTACTGTTTAAATATTTTCATCTGTATGTCTCATAAATTGTACTTAAGATAATATCCATTCAGCTCAAATTACATGTTGAATAAGTACCACTTAACACCTAATTTAGATAATCTGTTAATATAAAATATTTGCAAAATTACACCTAGAAGAATTATTATAGTATCTTGTGTAATATTACAGGAGTCACAAAATAGATTTAAACTAAAAATTAAACCTTTCATAATATTCAGCTCGTTTATACAATATCAATAATTAATATGATTAATTTAAATAATGTACCATAAGTTATTCCTTCGTAAAAAGATCGAAAACTTCTTTACAAAAGTCTATGTCAAAAGATGCTACAGATGATGATTGGCTAGGAAATGATAAACATTCTTCTGTATCTATGTCATGGACTGAAAGATCCGAAACATCATCTTGTACATCCCTGCGTAGAGAAAGATCCATAGTGCGATTTGTCTCGTTTCTAGGAAAAGAAAGAGTCAAAATATGATTTGTTAATGTTAATGTAATTAATGGATCTTTATTCATATATAGTATGAAAAGAATTGAAAAGTTGTAAAATGTTTATTTGTACTTAACGTTACATTTATATTATTCGTAATTGTGTAAAAACCGTTATTTTTGAATGGAATATGTATATGGATGTATATTTCATTATATTGATGAGCTGTTACTTTAATCGTTACATTTTATGATAAAGATTTGATAATTTTTGGTAACGGTAACGAATTTTACAGTTACGTTTATCGTTACTTTGCTCATGATTGGACACGATACGACACAAGCCACTTA